TACATTACGATTATACATGTATATCTTGCAGTACTTTATAGTATCACATCTTGTCGTGGGCACCCCCGACGTAGGTACATTATTATATAGCCCACGTTTTCAAAATCAAGACTGCGTACCTACATAATAATATGACATTGAGTTTCAACCGGAATATTCCGTCCCGCGAAAAACTATTTAAAAAATATAGTACCTCCCGCGACAGCAGTTTATTACTACCTAACATACCATGTAATTTAATGTTATTTATACTCGGAATTATGATATACGCGCACGCTATGTATAGTATATGTGATATTAATATAATATTGTATCCTGTTCATTTGACCTATCGTCATTATTTTACACTACAAAGAAGATAGGCAGGTCAAAAATATTGATATATCGAGCGATAAATTAAGCGATGAATCAGACATCGTTAAACGATTTTATTCATTAGGTAGATACATTCGACGAATTAGTCGATTAAATCACAATCACATAAGTAGTTCCATAAAGGTATAAAACGCCCAATGATAGTATCACAATTTGTGAACATAATTCGTTTAAGAAACTGTATATAGGTACCTACCAATATTGGCATTGTGCTAAAATACTTTATTTATAATTAAATAAATGATAGTTATAGACTTTTTATGAATAGCTGAAAATTATATAGAAACGAATACCTCCGTATACTGCAGGTTAGGTACCCAGTGCTCACCATGCATGTTTACCTCCATCCCTTAAATTGTATTCTAGTTCTGATTTTATTGTAACTTTTTGGTATAGGAACTGCGACAATCTTCATTTTTTAATTGAAAAAACGTTTTTTCATATAAATTGTTAAGAATATTAATTTTTGAAATTTTAATTTATCTAGTTCAACATTTGGGCAGTTTGATAGTTAATCATGCCTACTATTGAACTAGGTGTACTTTATATAACCCTTTAAAATGATTATAATAAGTTCATTATTACAGAAAAATGATGGAGATGAGCACACCTGGGGAATCACCCGGAGCGGCTGTACATATATACTATAAAGTGTACTAATAAAATATTCTAACGACATGTTCCGATGACGAGTTCACAACAATGATAATAATATTATTATTATATTACCATTATAGTCACAGCGGAGACTTGAACGCTAGGAGCTATGGGCGGGTTTAGCGTCCTTGGCATTCGACTGTGATACAGTCGGTGCGGGCGCCAAAGAATTTTTATACGTTTTTAAAGACTCCGGCGAACCGTTTTCCCTCCGAGTACGCCCCACGATACCATAAGCCATAAGGCAATGCGTATACGGTGTGACGATGACGACTCGACGTATTATAATGTTTACCATATAGGATATAATATATATTATGTATCGCGTATACATTATTCTAAACCATAATATTATATACATTATATATATATATATACATAAACACATTATATACTAGCTTTATAACCCGACTTCGCCCATGAAAAAATGAAAAAAATATATAAAATACGGTGCAATAATATTATACACATAGGTGCATGCTGCAAAATATTTGATTTCCGCATTTTCCGTCATAAAATCCCTGTGTGAGCACCTCTTTAAAATGCGAATTTTTTAAAAAATCTTTCTAAATCCATGCCTACATTGTGGTACGAAGGTACAAAGAAAATGTCAAGTCTCTGCAGTAGTCTATGTCCAGTGATGGCTATAGACAAAATATAGGGGTTGAAAAATGTTGCCAAGAAAACTTCCAGAGTTGAAGCAATATGCAAAATCTGGTGGCAATTGGTTTGGACGTTTCCGAGTCTACGAGCTTCAATTCAAACAGACGCGCATTCTTTTTATATACCAGTATACTGCAAGATTGCACATTCGCCTACAGTAATAAAGCGCGTTATTTATATTATATTATATTATTATTGTTTTGAAATTATTACGTCACACGGCCGACGCCATAAATCTCTCGCCTTTAGATAATATAGGCGTGCATATCATGCTTATATTCATATATATTTTATAGCTCGCGACTGGTTTCAAAATCTATTTTTCGCATCTCGAAAAGTTCTCATAGGTCGCGCGCCCCTCGCGCGAACGCGTTCGTCGGCGACGCCGCCGCCGCCGCCAACGACAATAAATATTCAGCTATTGGCCTGCACTCTATTGTGAGCTTATAGATTATAAAGAGATTTACGATTTACGCGCACATACATAATATTATACACGCGTGTGTGCGTGTGTGTGTACCCGGTTCACGCCATCTACGTATTATAGATGTATGTATTCGCGTACTTGCGGGTATACGTGTGTGTGTGTGTGTGTGTGTGTGTGTGTGTGTGTGTGTGTAGTCTTATACGTGTAGAAAAGAGTCCGGGTATAAATTGTCGCGATTCAAACGACGACTGCGGTTTCGTTATCGGCGTGGTAATAATAATTGAGTTGAATTGGAAAGCGCGCGCTCGCGCGTTTGTGTGTAGAGCGTATAAGGAAACAGAAGAACGCGAGAAGGGCGATGTGGAGGTAGTGGTGGCGGCGATGGTGACGGCGGGATGGTGGTAGCGGTGGTGGTGGAGGAGGAGGAAAAACAAATTGTGTACATATGGCCGAGAGAGTTCACTGACTTGCGGGAAGAGAATTCCAAAACCAGAAACGTTTCTTAGAGTATATATATATATGTACATTAAAATATACAAATGCTAATTCGACTGCAATAATTGGGCGCCCGACTCTGTATCGATAATGTATAATAATATGGAATTTCGTATTTTACGTTATTATAAATTATAAATATTTTTTAGTTTTTGTGATATCGCATTGAATTTGTAATTGGTATAATGAAAGATTTTGTTTGAAAAATAAATTTTCGTTTAAATTAAAATCCTGTGATGTTTTATCGTAGCCCATAGGTAATATTATAACCGAGTGTTGGGTTGAAAGTGATATATTGATGATAGTATTGAGTGATATATTCGTTGCTGAAATGATTTAACAGTTCTCACCGGATGATATAATCGCCCGTCCTGAGAATTTTCATACTATAGCACCACGCGGCTATAGCGTATAAGTATAATACACCCAAGTCGAAACATTGAGGGCTTATATAATAATTCCAAATTATGAAAAAATAGCAATGTAGGCGTTTTAATATGCACGTATGTGTAAAATAAAATAAAAAAATGTAAAGTGCTTTTGAATAAAAATGTATTAATTATTTAATGTAATCATTAATTATAATAATTATTTCCTATACCTGTACATTATAATATATATTTTATATTCGTTAAAAATAATGAAATACATCCACAATGATTACTATTATTGCATACCTCCTCGCTTTTGTTTTAAATACAACGTGTAATATACCTATTATGCCTACTTAAATATTATAATAGTGAGTACTGAGTAATCGATTCGAAATTTCCCCGCGGAAACCCAAATCAAAGTCTTTAATGTTATTTTCGCGGTCAATAATAATAGGTGTACAGGCCACAAAATATCTCCTTTTAATGTTTTTATTATTCTTACTATTATAATAAATAATAATACATCACGCGTAGGTGTCTCCAAAATATAATGAATAAAAACGAATTTGCAGTAGGTATAAAGCTAAACAGCGTGTATTTTAATTGATAATATACTATATACTGGTATAATTACTATCATAATGCCGCGTAGGTTCAACCTTATAGATGATGAACCTTTTACGAGATATAATAGTATATTAATTATTATGGTATTATCCATACTACTAGTATATATGCTAGCAGTATATCTACAACCGATTTGTACATACACCGTGACCATATAAAACAATATGCCGGCGAAAATCGTTGTACGTTATACGGCATGCACCTATGTAATACAAATGCATCCTAAATCGAAATTAGCACGTTTATATTGCCGGAAACGTATTCTTTAAACAATATGCGATATACCTACCTATAAGTACTAAGTGGTAGGTATCCAATACCTAATAACATTGTAATACGCCACGCGCAAGTTAATTCAATTTTGTAAGGTCATCGCCTAGGTGTATCGTATTAAAAATAAAATCATTATTATACTGTCGAGCGACTTATAATCAAATACTAATTATTGCTACAGTAATAAACTACCTGAACTATGTGTTTGAAGAAAAAACACAATAACAATAAGCGTTGATCACTAAATATGAATAAATAAGCAAGGCAAGGAGTGTGCAGTTATATATGATTAATGTAAAAATAAGTATCAGCAATCTATAATAATTATGATTGCAATAATTTAGCGCGTGCCAGTGGAATTTATATAAAGTATTTATATAATATAAAGGCACGAATAGTGAACCAATGAATTTTGTAGGACTTAGACCAATAGATAATAGCATAAGCACCCCCCCCCCCCCGTCAAACTGTTTCTGAATTCAGCTATTTCCGTTATTATATATTGTTTGGTTTTAAAGAAATATTTAGAAAAATAAAAATTCAATGATCAAAAGAGTTAAGTTAACAAGCAAAAGTCCCACATTACCGTACTATTATTGCCGGTAGCTTGAATTACAAAATCTTGCATCAATAGAAAAACAGACTTTTACAGAAATATATAAGAATGTTGCAGCTGAAGAAACAGACCAAAATATTATAATAGGTATATATATATATATATAATATTGTGTAATATTATGACACCAGATTTTCCCACGAAACAAATTTGTTTGTTATCAATCTCCTGTGAAAGTTTCGTGTCTCGATAGTACGACGAATTCCCCCGGTACTCTTCTGGAGTAATCTTCTGAGCACGGTATTCATTCCCGTGCGAAACGATTATTTCGACAAATATTGAAATATGTACTTATACATATTGTATAGTACTATAGTGCAATCCTCTCGATTTCAAGAGACTTTTCACAGACCCATTTTAATATTATTTTTTTTCTATTTGCGCCTTTATATAATACTCATGCATTATATCGGTCCATTTTAAAGGCTCAGATATCATTAAAGTTAAAATAATGTGTGTTGAGTATATAGGTAGTGCAAATAATTATTATTACCTGTATCCGTCGAATCCCTCGTCGGACCCGTTCACTGTGAGTATTGGTGCCCTGGCGTAAGCTTTGGCCACTCGCCGATTTCTTTCGAGCACTATCACTTTGGCCCAAATCTCGTCATCGATTTGCGTCCATTTATCCAACACTTCCTGAATGTGATCCTGAGAACAAAAAATAAAACGAAAAATAAATAAACAATGAAAATATAATACTCCATGATAATGTCAATTTATACGCTTATAATACGGTTGAATACTATTATAGCTATGGCCGTATAAATACGTACAAAAATCAAAAAGGTTATTTGCATCTGACAAATTTAAAATTTACTACTAATCTCAAAGGACGCTGTTAAGTATCTATTTCATTTAAAAATGAATGTACAGCCCTATATTAAAAACAACAAGGTAATTAAATTAGTATAGAAATTACTATAATTTTGCAAATGCATTTATGTATACTATAATATTAACTCCCTGGTATTGAACTGTAGCTACGTAATAAATAAGTGTACATGTATTTTGTACACATTATATTTATATCATCGATAAATTGATAACAGTGAAGATAATTTTTTCATGATGACCTTTATAATGTGTAACAACTAACAATGTAAGGTAAAAAACATCGAAAACGTTAATTTAAACACTATAAACTATTAAGTTCGAATCTCCCATGCAAAAAAAATCGTTCGTGTTAGATGAGTGATGGATGTACATTGTACAGATATCGAAGTCGTGGCTACATTCAAATTGGAACTCGTGCAAAAAAATCATCATCCTAATTGGTTCCCACTAAAGGGATTCTTATCATTACTTATGACTATCTTTTAGTAAAATATAATATATTATAAATCTATCAGTATTCATTAATCAGATTTACGAAATGTAAACACACAAGCATACTGATTAATGAGTGCATGATAATGCAAAAGATAATGTGACGTACAATCTATATGAAAATCAAAATTAACATTAGCATAGATATTAAGCAGACAAATTGGTAAAATAATTTGAAGATATTATTTAAAATGTCGACAAACCCGGATATCCATATTTCGTTTAGTTACGAATAAATTCAGCGGGGAGGCTAGAGAAACGTAAGTATTTAAAGCGGATTATTTTCTATAAAATAATAAAATATAGATAATTCGAAACTATCGAAATGCGACCGAAAATATGCGACATCTTTATTATGTCATAATATTTATAAACGTAAAGCAACTACAAACCCATTTGTTATATAATATACATATGACGTGTTACTTTTGTTAAAGAAAATATAAAACTTTTTACGTAGGAACGCGCATTAGTAGCACATAATAATAAATACAGTATGGGCGCCGACTGCCAATGTATCTATATGTAAATATAGGGAGACAGGTGGCATTTACCAGCTACATAGGACATTATAATAACATATTATATTATTATATTATAGTCTGCGAATAAAAACAAAAATTAAATTACGCTTCGCGTACGGCAGACAATAACAGATAGGTTCGAGCCAAGTATAATATTATAATACCACTGTGGTGCAGTATAATATGATATTATAATACGTCGTACGTGTGGTTTTAAACGCGCAAAATCGCTCGGCCGTTACTAAATGCGCATAACATTAATATCGTGGCATATATATAATAATATACACATGCATGAGACCGCCATAGGCACCACCAACGCACCCGGTAGTTCATGATATATGCGACAAAGAGTATAGGATATAACTGGTTAAAAGTTAATTTTTTTTGGAATTTTTTAACCTTACTATGCAATACATTTTTATGTATCCATATTATTGTAATAACTTGGATTTTTAAAATTGATTTGAAAAACAAAACGATTGAGTTAAAACTAAGCTTATGCATAATGCATTATCTATACCTGTAGTTAAGACAAATAAATAAATAATATTTTGCAAATCGCTCTGATATTAATTGTTATGAGCAAAATGATCCAAGAAATCCTATAAATGTGCCCGGGAAACGTGTAAAATGCCTGAACCACTACACAGGTAGTTTTCATCAAGGAGAGAAAATATTTGGTATACTACGATGTGCCTGTTTTAATTTTGAAAAAATTGAAAGTTGCACAGTTATCACAGTGCGTGACCTAAGTAGTAGTTATAACAGAACAATCAACCGACATAACTGCATGTATATTATCATTGTTATTGCCAACTAAAAAGCAACCAAGCGAGTGATAATTTAACTTGCGCGCCTTTACTCGTCGGCTATAGTAAGTACGACCCATTGAGCTTTGTTATTTTATAGCCCTGCACGGAAATAAACCAAAGCGTTCAATCATTGGCGTTCCGTCGAACAGGAGCGAAATAATATCACGTACAAACAGTCGATGGCGATAATAGCAATTTAATAATATACACGCGTATGCGATACCTGTATAATATCGTACTATAATAATATAATAGTAATATAATGTATATATATATATATATATACTTCGCTGCCGGAGATTTCCGCACACACGCGTTGCTGTAACAACTAACATCTCTTGTAAGTGCAATAATATTAACTCAGCGGCGGCAACGCCCTAAATCAAATCTGCGAGCTCGTGTTACATAAAATGTATAACGAAAAAAAATAAATAAACACGATTTTTCCCGGACGACCTTGACGGTCACGACTACCTCTCGACAACCACGCTACAAGGAGTGCGTGTCGGTCGGCGTGTGTGTGTGTGAGTGAGAGACAGACAGAAAAAGCGAAACCGCACAAGCAAAATAATAATATTATATTATATAAATATAGCCGAGGCAGGCGGCCCAACCCCCGGGGGTCTATTTCGCGAGATCCGCTCGGGCGTGGTGCCGCAGCCGCCAACGACCTTGCCCCGCCGCCGATCGCCGCTCCGATTTAAATTATTATTATTAAGAGTATAATAATATGATATTACCGCACTGCAGTGCGGCCGATGGGTTATTTTTATCAATATTACTATATTATTATAATGTGGATTTGGTATTTTTTTTTTTTTAATTTTTCGCGCGCTGCTCCCGACACGTCACGTGTGTGTGTGTACCTGTACCTGTATTCGTGGCGCGAGATTTAAATTTGCATTTTAAGCGAGAGCAAAACGCTCGGCCGTGAAGACAATTTTCGTTTCACGGTATTAGCGTTATAAATTACCACGATATAATAATAATGAAAATAATGTGTACGTTTTGTACTATGCATACCAGCTATACGTATATAATATGATATGTAGGCAGGTAATATTATAATGTGCGACGATTCTTATTAAAATTTATCGCAGGTACCTCCCTATGATAGTATATATTATAGTGGTCGCCCGATACATATTATTATCGTCGTATCATTATTGTTATTCTGTCTATATGTGCGATTATAATCGAATTATTACGATGATCCGACGCGCCGTGCAAAACGAATTATCGAAATCGAGATCCGTGTGCGGTCGGCCAGTACACGGGGCAGTACACATGCGACGCGTAAGAATAATAAGCGGGTGTGATAATTGTTTTTCTCTCTCTCCCTCCGACCAAATAATGCGATATCACGCATATATTATATGGCTTTAGAGCATTATTTAATATCGAATACGGCAGTATAGAACCTCGATGGTCCGGACGAGTTCAGAGTCTGAATCCGCGAGTGTCATCCGGATTATATTGCATGAAGTTTTTCAATGGTGTAGGTATTTGAATAACCAAAACATGTTCCTCCCCCGTGCACCTTTTTTATTTGCATTTTCTATTGTTCTGATAAAAAATAAAAAATGTAAAATACTAATTTCATAATATATTATGTAGGATGTAATTATGTGTCCAAAATGGGGATTTAGTTGATCTAATTTAACTATTTATTAGTGATAAAATCAATTATTTTTTTGAGTGGTAGACTAGCTGAACTTGTTTTAAAAATGCTCAAACCAATTTGAACGGTTGGGTTCAGAACGGAGAAGGAGAAGAAAATAGCAAAATATTGTAGTGGTAAAATAAATTATATCACTCAGACTGCATTAAAATATATAAACATCATATATATTGCACCTATAGGTCCGTATTATAAAACGCATTTGGCATAACATATATTAGGTATTACTTATTATTAATAATATGATATATAGGCAGACGGTGTGCGTATAACGGGATTTATTTTACGATAGTATTATTGAATTATGTTTTTGTCGTCGCAGCGAAATACATTTCATTAAAATACTACGCCTACGTTTCCATCGCGACTGCGGTATTATAGGTGCCCAATATATTATATGCGTAGGCCTATACCCCGAACTGTTGAATTTTATAACGGATCGTGTTTTTTCTTCTCGGCGAGAGTAACTCAAATAACATACATCATATTATTATAATAGGTGAAAATTCGGAATTCGGCCGCGGACGCATTTATGAGCATTAATGCCGTATAATAACATAAACGACCATCACACGCCGTATACCAATATAAATCCGATCGTATAAACCACAGCTAATTCACGATCGTTGTACAATATTATATTATGTCGCCGTTGTGCCGCCGAGCGCAATGATAAGTATTTATTGTAATGCACAATAATAAGGTACCACTCCGGGTCGCCGCCCCCGCGGCCTATACGGCTGTAGGATACACAATACGCGCATGCGTAATACAAATTTATTATTACTGAGTTCGTGATATTTAATAAAATCCGTGCCGACTAAAGCACGACATGATTTCCGCCTCGTCGCAGAGACCGGTGGTTCTCAACTTTTTTAATTCTTCTTTAACTCTACTAATCGCGTAGACCACCCCCGAAATTATAGATATTCAATTCAATTTTCGTGGCACCCAAAAATAGTTGTCTCGTATGATGGGCTCCGGAGACCCTAAATAATAATTGGTCGAGGACTGCTGCAGGTATATACTATATGTTAGCGTCTACAGTAAACTTCCAGATTGGCGATGAGTCGCCCCGCGGATGACATAATATTATACTATTACGACACAGTTATATTCAACTCGCGTGATACCTATTATTGACTATTGCTATAAAAACGATTCTCAACAACTCTCAACGATATACGATGAAAAGTCACATATGGGTACAAATTATACTCAAATTCTCTTACCTAGTGCTTTGCAGATTATTATTCGAGTTAGGTTGATTATGAATTTTACATATTTTTGCTTTCACTTATG